TTTAAACAACATGCTCTAACAGGTGATACCAACAAATACACCTCTTCTACTTAGAACTTTCGAGCGATACCTACGAACTCTTCAACAGACCGAGTAACCAGGTGTTCCACGTGGGTTATCGTAGGACAGCATTAGGATTGTTGGAGGACATACGAAGCATACCTGCATAATCCGACTAAGTTGTTGGATTTGTTCGACCAAAAACCACTTAGATACTGGAAAAGTTGATGGGGTATGATCAACATAGCCAGATACAAATAGATACTTCCAAAAAATCAGACATTTGCTAAGATATGTATTCACCAAAGTGATTTGAGCTCAAAGAATGCACCGGGAGAGCTGTCTGTACATAGCCAGATGTACACCAGAAACCGAATAGAGAAGAGAAGATAAGACAACTTGTCACAGGTGTCCCTCTTCCCAGTCTCAAGCTCATCCTGTCTTATCCGAGAGAAGAGAGCCGGTCTGCCCAGCCTCAGCTGTCATGAAGCCAGGCGACAAAGGATAGAATGTAGTGGATAACGTTGAAGAGAAGCCAAAAAGAAAAAGTTAAGAATAAAGTCATTTCAGACCAATCAAGATCTTTCGTCACAAAAACATAACCCTTGGCATGAGTTGCCAGCAATAGTGGTAATGAGAAAAGGAATGACAGAGGGTTTCCACAGGCAAAGGAAGATAAAAGCCAACCCAATTGGCAAAAAGAAGAACAAAAAAGAAAGGTCATACTTCGCTGTCGCGTGATGTTCGGCATTACATGAAGGGTGTTTTGCGTTTTTCAGCGCTGAATAACACCAGCATCGGCGTCTTGCGCCGTTCTGGTGCCTGGGCTGCCGGCCCCTGGCCAGCAACAACAGACGCCACTGACGGCGACGATGTGCCACTGGCACTAGGCGAGGGAGCATAGTCCCCGCGAGCATCAACAAACTTTGAGCAAAAGTAGCCGCCGTCCTCGCTAGTCGGAGTGGCACTATGGAAGGGACTGTCCGGGGACTTGCGATCCCGGCCAGATTTCTCCCTTCTCTCGGATCCAATGGCACCATTAGCAACCGCTCGCAGGCTGCCTAGACTGGGCTTGCTGGAGAGGCTTCCGCCGCTGCGCACGGTGGCATCATCACCATCCGAGAAGGTAAACTCTTTCTCACTCGCAGGGGTATTAGTGCCTCCGCTGCTGTGATATCCAAAACTGCGTGTGTCGCTACGACGCTCAATCCCCGCGCGAACGAGATTGTGAACGGCACGACGTCGCTGGCGGGTTGCAAAGTTCTTGCTACCCTCGTGCTTGGAGGTGGGCTTGGCCACGAGATCCTCAAGCGAAGGGGGGCCACGGGGCTGACGCATCGGATGCTCACCAGCACGACTTTGACCGGGTCCAAATGTTCCAGTGGCCGGTGTCGGCGGCAGGGCAGCAGACCTTGGACCGGCTCCTACATTGGCCTTTGTAGTATCAATGTTTGTCTTGATACTTGGGTTAAACGAAAGGTTCTTGCGGTGGCCTCGGCGAAGAGCATTCACAGACGATTCATGGGGCGGAGAGGGGCTGCCAACTGGAGGGGAAATTGGCTGCGGGAATTGCATGGGAGATTGCGTGGAGTCCGCAGGCGGAGAAATCTCTGCACGGAATTGAGGAACTTGCTGGCCAATATGGGCCTGGTTATCTTGATAAAACTGTTGCTGGCGATCTTCCTGGGAGTTATTGTCCATGACGTAGCTTTGCTGGCCAGTCAGAGGATTGTAGACGCAGAACATTCCAGGTTGACCGGGAACCGGTTGCACAATGGGCTGAACGCCTTGTTGGAGCTGCTGTTGATAAAATCCCATACCAGGAATGGAGAGCGAAGGCATCTGCTGCTGCCGAGGAAGGGGCATCCCAAGGTTGAGGCCTTGGAATTGTTGAGCAGCAGCAGTGACACTGATCAACTGCTGTTGCAGACGTTGCTGCTGCGCAGCAAGGAACAGATTGGTGGACATCAATTCTGCGTACATGTTCTCATCGATTGGAACGTCGCCACCGGCCATTTCAAGCATCGGAGGTGCAAGTACCTGCTCTGGCATAGTGTACATCATGCGGTTGTGGTGCGAGTGGTTGCGGTGAGAGTTCGCGTTTTGGTTCGTGGTGTAATTGTGCTGTGGGAATCCAGCTCCAGTCGCAGTTTGTGGGACCCGGTCGGCCCCTCGGTTGGAATAGCCAGTAAATCGTGAACCTTCCGTTCCACTCCGCTGCTGATGTTCAGAGGGAATTGTGGCAGACTTGGGAGCAGTGCGCAATCCAGCCAAAAGATGAGAGCGGCTGGTACGCGGAGTGGAGACAGATGCGGATGCCTGGGACTCGTCGATGGTAGCGACCTGGGGAGGCATACTCAAACGCTTGATATGAGAGCCTTTGCCGCGCGAGGCGAAGCCAGAGCCCGGCACACCCAGGGAGTTGCCATTGTTGAAAGAAGAATTGTAAGACATCTGAGACATTTGAGCAAGACTGCCAGCGTCCATACTCATATTCGTTTGGTGGTGGGGTATAGGTATGTGCAATAGAATGCAAGCGAGGCAAATGGTGTCTTTTCGCGTCCGGATTCAATGTGAGCGTTTGGGGTCAACCACAAACCTGAAATCACTTCCTGACGATTAAGGAATTATGGTATCTATGCAAGAACGAGCGCTGGAGTAAGCCTGCAAGATCGGGATTCAACGACCGAAACAGAAAACGCGGGAGAGTCGAGTTTTCTGTATTCAGAAATTGATGAGTAAGATCCAGCGGATGGCAGAAGACAACAACACATACCAATCACAGGTGAAGATGTGAAGATAAATCGAGCGAGTGGCTAGCGATAAAGACGACGAATGCTAGAAGAACCAAGCTGTACAAGGACTTGCTGGGTTTGAAAGTCGCGAACCCGAGGAATAAGTCTTTGAAGCCGAGGTGGAGACGATTTGACGTCTGACGACAAACACGTCGAAGGAAAAAAAAAATAACAATTAAGAGGATATTTTTGAGGGGAAAAAAGCCACGCGCGAAGCAAGACCACGAAGAAAAGATGAAATGTCCGGGGGAAATGCTCTGCAAAACCCAACCGAATAAAAAAAATAAGAGAGTAGTTCACGCGATGCCGAAGACCGAAGGCTTGAAGGCTGAAACACTGAAGGTCGCGACCAAAAAACCCAGTGCTAGGCTAATAAGGTGAAAACGAATTTAGGGATCCGAAGAGATGAATGCCTCGAGGCAAAAGTGAATTCGGGTTTCGGCCAAACGCAACGTTTTTCTTCAGGGGGACGGAACTAATCGGGACTATTTGCAAAGTGGATAAATGCTTTTTTGGTTGTTTTCCATGAAACGAGAAGAGCTGCGGAGAAAGAAGGAATGCAGAGAGGAAGGGAAAGGAAAAGAAAGAATCGAAGATTAGATGGAGGGTTGAGGATGAGAAGAAGAAGAAGAGAGAGATGGTGGATGGCTTAGGCGGGGATTGTTGCCTAATTGATAAGGCATCAACCGAACACAATAAGGCCCAAAAGGTACTAGCGTCCTTTCTCCAGACACAATCGCTTTGAAAAGAGAAATATCAGAATATCAATAGCTCACTTTGATATCTTCTTTCATTTTGTTTCAGGGAAGTTTGGGGGGTAATTCAAGCTTTTTCAGCTTTACCTATCACTCTAAGCCAATATTTCTTACCTTTAACTGCCTGATCATAGCTGACAGCATCACAGAAGAACACCCATTAGGAAGATCTGACTGGCTTGTCCGATCGACCAATAAGCGATACACCCAGACTCGAAGTGATCCCCCATCACATCCCGAGCCAAATCATTGGCTGTTGGCCACTAGCGGCGCGACGTGGCCGGCCTCTACGCCTGACAATGTCCCTAGAGCCGCTCGCCACTAATGCCAAGCTACCAGCGCTAGCCAATGGGTTGGTTGGGTTTACTTGGACTTGTGCTTGCTTCTAGCTCAGACTTGGATCTCATTATGATCATTACCTTCATATTTTGGGAATTCCAAAATCTAGTTTAGCATCCCAGGGTTTATTGTTCTGCTCTTTGGCAGCCCCGTGTGTTACAATACTCATTGGCTAGCTTTATTTCATCATACCTCATTGTCTTGTATCTCCCCCTAAAACTGTGAGATAATAAGGGGCGTAAGAGTTTGTCTCACGAACTGTAAGTTAACTCGGGGCAGTTATTGATTTCAAAGGCAATCGACGCTTGAAGTCCAGTTAAATACCAACATTAGGACAAACCCAGCAATACGAAGAAAGGCAGGGACATCTTGGAATTTGTAGAACATTGTCTGCCAACTTGGCACGGAGTAGGAATCTAATAACCGCTATAGTATGGCCCTTCCTTGGAAGCTTTCGATCTCCTTGCAAAATCATATAACTCCATATCTTTTGTGGTTTAGATGACAATCTTCTATGGATCCATTGATCCTTACTTTCAAATCACCGATTTATCTGATCCTGCTGGCTCCGCCGAGATGGAGTACTTGGAGATCTCCTGCGCTTCCGCCTCGCTGCCTCTGAGGCTCTGCCGCCGACGGCTCTGCTGCCAAAAAGTGGCGATATCTGGATTTGTATGGAGGCCAAATGCTTCATTTTTTGGATAAATTATTTACAATACACTGTATAGAGCGGTTCTAATTAACAAATTCCGGCATCAAACCCGCCCCCCTTCTAGTTTACTAGCGTAATAATTTACAGTACCACCAAAAATGCTATTTTTGGTGATCTAAAAACTGTATTTCAATTGTCGAGGTCTAATTCATACAGTTCTAGTAAATCCGACTGATTTATCTTTCTTATTTTGGCGAGAAAATGGGATGGAAAACTGGCACCCCAGCTCTAGGGAGGGCTATATGTAGATAGGTGTTGAGTATGTATGTTGTACTAATTTTGCCAGGTAAAAAATCCCGGTTGGCGCGATGGCGGTTAAAACCTGCCGTACTAGCCAAATAAGCCGTCCACGGGTTCCTATTGCTATTTATAAACCTCCCTAACATCTTAAATGTTATATCAAACCCGACTCCCGCTCATGCCCTTCCACAATCTCGGGTAATTCACGCCAACCTCGTCCATAGTCTCAATGAGCACGGCCACGCCAGGATGCAGACCAGCCGCCACAGCACGTCTCGTCCATTCTTCCCTGGGTAGTTTCGTAAAGGCTTCATTATCGGCTAGCCCAATATTTTGTAGACCGTCGAGCGCAAGCACTTCGTCTCCCACCGCATTGAAGTAAGTAACATCGTTGCCCTCGTTAATACCCATGGTGGATTGACTGCTATCAAACACGCGCCCCATTATCTGCTCGCACACTGTATCGACGCGCACGAGGTCCAAAAATCCGCTGTTGCTCCGCGACTCGGGCGCCGCCTTCAGTAGCCTAACGTACTTGATAAATGCATTCACCCAGTCCTTGTCTGCCTCGTCCCCGACTGTGTCACTTCCCTTGCGCACAATTGTCGACGGCCGATAGATCTCGACGCGCAGACCATACGCCTCACTCGCCCGCTCCAGAAACCTCTCGCTCGCCCACTTGCTGCATATGTACCCCTCGGTCCTATCTGGCACCTGTGCCGCCGGCACATCAATGTGCCCCGGGGGGAAGCCATCCTCCCTGCTGTTTCTGTGTAGCATACCTAACCCGGCCGACGATACGTAGTATAGCGGAATGCGACGCCGTAAGCACTCGCGCGCGATCTCTATAGTCGAGCCTAGGTTCGACGCTCGCACGTCTATGAAGTGCTTTACGTGCGACGTGTCTGCACTACAGTGGATGACAGCTGAAGCCGAATCGGAAATCGACTGTGCTGTCAACGCCGAGATTCCAAGGAGTGGCTGTGCGAGGTCGCCTGCGTGGTAGATGACGCGTGGGTCTGACGGCAGAGACCCCTGTGTGAGCCGCCGCTCGAGGTTACGCACTGCTAGGCAGTGGACTTGATTGACGGTGGGATGGGATAGCCGGGGTGACGCTGCCCGCAACACGGGAAGGGGAAGAGTCTCCAGAGTCCTGTGCGCTGCTAGCCTCCTCAGAATCGTGGGCAGTGGCCAGCAGCTCTCGGGGCAGATTATCTACAGCGTTCTGGACGAGATCTGCCAGGCTTCCGCTCCCCATGATGCTCAATGTTGGCACGTTCACCTGGATATTACGCAGGAACCACGAGTGCAGGTCCACAGAGACTAGGGAGTCGGTGCCGAGGTCGGTTGAACGCGAGGCCATGAGTTCTTGATCCGACACTGTACCGTCCAAGCCCAAGGCGGTGCCCATCTGGGCCGCAAAAGCCTCTTTGATGATATCTCTCGCGTCGTCTTCCGACCGGCACTGGCGCAGCCGCTCCGTGACAGTCGCGGTCAGGACATTGCTACCGGCGCCGTCGCCCTCATCACCACGACCGCCATCTTCCTTGACAACAACAAACGCACTGAACTTGGGGTTCGAGCACCATAGCGGCGCGTCAGGGGCACTCGCCTCGTCTAAGGTAACGTCAGCAATGGACGTGGTCAGCTCGGGCCCGACAGGGCTTTCTAGACGACATGCGTCGATACCCTCGCAGATGGACTGGCCCCAATCGCCGTCTGACATGCGCATCATGCGGTACCGGCGGACGATGGCGTCGAGCTCGCCTCGTGCCAGCTCCCGTTGCATGTAGCCTGCGCCGAGGATGGCGCCACCGTTGACTGTCGCGGCACGCAGCCCACGATTCCGTCGCGCTCCCGCAAGCCCGCATAGGAATGTATTAGCGGCAGCGTAGTTAGCTTGGCCGTGATTACCAATGACGCAGTTGATAGATGACACGAGAACAAATACGTTATCTCCTTCTCTGTATTCACATACATTGATGCGCAGTTAAACTTTCTGCTAGTAGCATGCAGGTAAGCCTCATATCCTGTTGTTATATCGTGAGAATCTTCGGGCGCGAAAGGAATAGCTGAGAGGACAGAGATGGGAATCATGGGATAGTAGCGAGCTAGAATAGTTAGTCTCGTAGCGCTAGTGGTAAGACCTGCAGGAACGTTTAAATTATGCGCTTACGTGGCACGCCCATTTGCTCTATTTGTCTTAGGTTGATTATCTCCTGTATGGTTAGAATGGCAAGCAGCTAGCGAAGAAGAGGGAACACGGGAAAGACCTCGGGAACGCCCCACGGAAAGTAAGCGGGAGTCGGCCCGTGCCTACTTACTAGTCAGCCCCGCCGGGTAATCGGCAATACCTAACTTTCCAGCACTAAGGTTTCTAGCTAAAACAGTTTCCTGTCACTAAAAATCCGACATCGACCGCAACTGAATTGGAATCCCTTCTTCTTCAGGATACGTGGTGTTCATCTATCTGGCACCGATCCTAACAATTCTTGAGATCTTAGGGTGAGACAGACCAACCTTGTAACAATGTCGCTGTCGCACTTCTGGGGGCGTTTTTCCCGCCCAAGCCGGCCTTCACCGAGGCGAACCTGCCCGCAGACCTCTATGGTAAGAAGACCGCCGCTGACGCCTTCCTCGCCCGCGAGCAGCGCCTAGACGTGCTCTTTAACAATGCCGGTATCGTACGTCCACCACCTCTACGTATCTAGTCCTTCCCTCTTTAGTCGTTCTGACTTCTAATTGATGATAGATGGTCGGCCCGAGCGAGTCCGGCAAGCCTATTCCTGTGACAGCGCAGGGGTATGAGCTCTGCCTAGGCGTCAACTGCGTGGCCACCCACCTACTGACTAAGCTATTAACGCCGACTCTCGTCGCCACCGAGGGTCTGACGCGTATTATCTGGTATAGCTCGTTTGGTATGGAGATTGGCGCGCACCAGGACGTAGGTATTGCTACCGACAACCTCGATTACCATAAGCCAGAAAAGGAAACCCAGCGCTATAGCCTAAGCAAGACGGGCGCCTGGGCTCTGGGAATCGAGCACAACCGCCACTATAGAGCTCAAGGCGTCGCTAGCATACCTATCGATCCTGGTAACGTCGTCTCCGGCTTACCTCGCGACCAAGGCCTACAGCTACGCATCGTCGCTAAGCTAGTGTGCTATCCGACTGTTTACGGTGCCTACACGGCACTTTACGCCGGATTTTCGCCGGAGGTTGTTTCCGACCAGGTCGACTGGACCAAGGAGTGGGGGTAAGTGTGAAACTTGTCTAAAGCTCCGGGACCGAGACCCTAACTAATAATGCTTGACCCGCAGTTGCTCCATTTGGACGTATATCTCCGCTCCGGTCCGATTTAACTAAGGCTACGCTGCTTGAGGAAGATGGCGGAAACGGGGGCACAGCCCATTTCTGGAACTGGTGCGATGAACGGATCAAGGAGTACCTTTAATGGCACAGTGCCAACGGTAGGGGTCAGCATCTGCTGGTTGTTGTGACGTGTTTTGAGCATCTCACGGCACTTAGCATTGCTGAGTATTTTATACCTTCCATACCAGGCACCCTTTTCTCCTTTAGTTAACAGTCTGAATAGACTGCGACATCGCCCGTCCATGGGCACCTAGGAGGTGCCCATCGCCCGTCCACGGTGGGCGGTGGGCTATTTGGATTTTCGAGTGCCTGTCCATGACGCCCACTACGCCCACCATATAATAAAGATGTCTTAAATATATATAAAAAGTAGATATATAGTAAATTATACTATATATATTTATATATATCTTATTAGAAATCCAGAATTATGATTGTAAATATATTAAAAAAATACAAATTTAGCTGAAATATTTTGAGAATTGTCCAAATAAGTCACGTGTTACGCTAATTTTACTTACTAAGAAGGCCCATGGGCGATGTCGCGGTCTAAGATCTTATAATAAGTCATGACCCTTTCTAGTTTAGAAAAACTGTAAACAAAATACCCCAAAATTACTAGCTTTTCTACATAACTTATATATATCACAAGACTAGCTGTGTTTACATGGTTTATAGTGCTATAGCACTCCCGCCGTAGCACCGTAGTACCGAACTAAGTGTCTAGTGCTGCTAAGCCTTAGTGCTGTAGTAACGAACCAAGGGCCTAGTGCTACGGCAGCACTGGTACTGCAGTACCGGTGCTGCGGGACTTGTCAAGGCATACCTGCTAGTTACTAAGTATCTACCTACTGCCCATTTTCCCACCGAAAGTGACCGAGTTTGAAGCTTATTCTCTCGATGAATTTATATGTAACCTATTTTTATTTATTTTTTTATCTTATTCATAATTAGAAGCTCAATATAATATATTAGACTATTCGGAAAGAAATAATTTTACTAATCTAATAATGATCTTTTATTGAAAATTATCAGAAGATTATTACAATATAAATTTATTGAGAGGATAGGGTTCAAAGTTGGTCAGTTTTAGTAGGAGAAGGGGCAGTAGGTAGATACTTAAGTAAGATCTACAATTCTCATCACATGCTTACTCTTGTGTGATATTGGCGATCGTTGCACATGATAACCATGTGGCAATATGTTGTATGCATATTAAAGACCCCTTCCCCTAAATCATAAGGCTACACAGGGAAAGGGCTAGTGTGAGTATGATCTACAACGGGCCATAAAGATCTGGATTGTCAACTGTAAAATTTCACGCAAACGCTGGTGTAAACCACGCATTTTGCCATCATAAATGAATCGTACATGCATAACGTACACCTCAGCCCCTCCTGGCTTCGTAATTCGCATCTCGCCCGTCCGGGAACTGTTGTTCCCTACGTTGTATGTACAAGATACAAGCACTCTTATGGTTTGTCCAGACGCACATGAAAAAAGAGTTAGACAGCATGTGCTCGCCTTGTCTGCTTGTAATGTCATAATGCCAGTCGGATGGAGTAAGGGACTCAGAATCACAACTAGATAAGTTGTTGCTGAGCCGTGAGAACATGAAAAAAAAGATAAAACAGTGGTGCGAAGAAAAAGATAAAGATGCGGGGTATCTGCTGGCTGAGATAGTGTGCCAGAGGAAGAAAATCAATGAGTCATGAAATAAAATCAAACATCAAGTCCATGGGTGCCCATGCGGTGCCTAGGCATCCACTGGGACACCATGTCCAGGGAGAGTGGCCGACTCATTCTGGGATGGTAATCGTCGATGACCTAGCTCCGGAGTGGTGCCCTTGCCGTTCATTCGGTCAAATTCCAATGTTTCAGCCAACTCCGCAGCCATAGGGTCCAGGTCTTCTTCTTTGAGCCCAGTCGCCAAAGCCACCAGCTTGCGGTGCATGTCGAACTTGGTGCTCACACCTGCATCCGCTGTTTGTTGGGCTAAATCCTTAACAGCATTGCGACGTATCTTCTGCGCAGAGCAGAGCTCTTGAGCGAGTCGATACCGAGCCATTAATTCATCTTGCTCGAGCGATGCTGTCATAGGTTTAGGCACTTCCGTAATAGCAAACTGTTCGGCCAACCGAGCATGCTGAATTTGCTCAAGAAGGGACTCATAGCTTGCCCGCAATTTTTCATATCGATCAGCTTGGTCGTCACTGCGCTCATGCTCGGCCTCCTTAGCCGCTAATGTAGAAAGCTGCTTCTGGATCTTCTGGCGGTCGGATTCCAATTGCTCGTGTAACGCTTCCGGATTGGCGACATCATTGGAATCTTGCTGGTTGATCTTTGAGTTTCCATAAGTCACAGCAAGCTTTTTATTAGCTTCGGCCATGATGGTCCCAATCTTAGAGAGGAGCTCAGAGGTTGCAGAGGCATCCGGAATTGGAGCAACGGACTGTCGATCCGTTCCCCCAGGACCAGCTGCTTCGATATCGATATGTTCGTTAGCCATGGTAACGGAAGAGGGGGCCGGTGGGATATCATGGCCATGATGCTGGGAACGTTGTGCGATACTGCTGGCAGTTTCCCCTTTATTATTCACCAAATCGCCAGCACGGTGACAATGCACAAGAAGGGTGTTCACCAGACGAAACGCCCCGTTGCGAGCAGCGACCAAGACAGCGGTGTCTCCATTTTGATCCTGGCATGACAACAACATTTGTATCTCATCTTGCGAGCATGTCTTGCATAGCTTATCGAGAAGTATTTCGCAATAATAACGTGAGCTCTTCCACTTTCCCTTGCTTCGAGTATTCTCTGCAATATGATGGAAGATAGTGGCACCGAACCAATCTCGGAAAGAGACAGTGTCCAGAAGCATATCTAAGAGAGTCGGAAACGTTCTTTTTTCGTAATTATTGGTAAACAGAACAGCTCGGACGAGTGGAGTCTCTTCATGCTCCGAAAGTGCCTTGATGTTGGCCCCTCTGTGTAGAAGATCTTGCACAATTCCCAAGTCACCCATCGCACATGCCCAGTGGAGAGCTGTGTTCCCAGAATCGTCAATGGCTCGATCGACTTGGAAATGAGCAGGGGGTTCGGGAGGAGAGATGCGCGTTGCCTCGGGGGCATCACCCACGGTCATGAAATAGTCTAGAAGTTGATCGCCGTAGATTATGTGTTCTTGCTCGCTGATGGACATGGCGGTTGCCTCATCCACTCCACGCTTCCGCTTCCGTCCGCCATGTGACATTTGAAGCATATCCTCGTCTGCGACCATTGATGATGATTCGATTGTGGCGTGTCCAATTGACTCGTTATCGTCGAATCCTGCATTCATCTCATAGTGGTCTTGTGGAATGGTCGGTGGACCCATGCTGTGCTGAGGTTGAACGACCTTCAGGCTTTCCGAAGCTGCGGCGGCGGCAGCCGCTGCCGCCGCAGCCGCAACACGATTTGCGGCAGCCGATTTCCTCGGCGCCCTAGGTTTAGATGGAGCCGATGTATGCTTTGGCGCTGGTGGGGGGCTATGGTCTCCAGCAACATAATCGAAAATCGGGGCTAATTTCGTAAGGATGTTGTTGCGTTCCGCAAGTTGGCGACCTTCTGGAAGTGGGATCCATGTTCCTGCGAGCATTGCCTGTCAGTAAGATGAAGCTTCTCTTCAGGTTACATAGATCCCAAGACATACCCTGATATTTGCCATAGCCTCCCTGAACTTTCTCGTGTACCCCCTTCTGGACTTCTCGCTCGAGGATGCGCGTTCGTGCAGGCTTATCAAAGCCTGCAGCTTTGAGGATATGTGTTGCATTGACCCAATCATCCGCTCGCCTTCTCATCACACTGTCAGTATCGAGCTTGAACTCGTATACCGGGACCTGGGAGTGAGAATGTCAGATGTGCTCGCATTCAAAGCGGAAGACAATCCCACGTGACGGGAGTGGAAATGTCCATTGGAGGTATAGCTTACACTGCTATAGGTAGCAGAGTAGATGGTGTCAGCCATAATGTGCGTCGCCGTTGGCCGCTGCAATTCAGTAGGTTCCCGAAGAGCGATCTAACACCCATGCACGTTGGAGCCGATTTGTCACCCCTAGATGATCCACAAGTTGATTGAGTTAATAATGCTTCGGCACTTCACGCATTGCACGCAATAAAAATCCGGACCGAGAACGTAGAGACACGATTCGGTGGAGCTGGGGGTGGCATCCCAAATACGCGCTGGACGCGTAAAGTGCGCACTAATCCCATTTCGGAAATATCACGTGATTGTATGTCATGTGACCAATATCGGCCCAGCAGGAACCTCAAACGAGCGGGAATCGCCAACCACGCCGTCCTGCCTCTGTCTCCCCGCTCTTTGCCTTTCCACCCTCAATTCCCTACAAAATGACTGTTATTGAAACGGTTAAGAGTGCCGTGGGGTTGTCGGAGACCTCCGGTAAGATTTCAAGGCCATTGATCAACAATTAAAAGCTCTAGCAGGAAAGTTGACCAGACTCTAGCAACCCGCCAGGAAATGTCGGAAGCCCGTCTTCCTATGCAGTACAGAGATTCATGCGCACACCTGCTGATTCCGTTGAACCGATGCCGGCAAGCAGAGTACTACCTTCCCTGGAAGTGCGAGGTTCGAGATCCTTCATTTTGACGTTCCAACACAACCCGATGCGACAAAAGCGCTTTCCAGAGCTAGTCAGCTAATACAATTCTCTTCTTTTCTTCTAGAATGAACGCCACTCATACGAGAAGTGCCAGTACGAAGAGTTCAAGAAGCGTGTGGCCAAGATGGACGAGCTGCGTGCCGCCAAGGACGGCGCCCGGAGCAACTGAATTGTGGGACTGTTAGTATGCGCGGTCGGTGCTGCTGCTACTATAGTAGCAGGATATGTAAATAAGAGATACACCGAAACTGCTTATGGATTGCCTTTTGGCGTTGGGACCTTTTATCAAAATTGGCCACTTTATTTTCTTCACTTATCTAGACAACAATTGCATCCAACTTGATGCTTTGTTTGACATTGGCTAAATTGATACCTACCATATTTCTCAGATCGATATACTCCTTGAGTCAGACATGAGCCCATGGATAAGTTGTCATTTGTCATAGCTCGGTGCATGTAAGCAGATTGTATAGTAGATTACTTCTGTGCTACAAGCATTATACAACCCTAGGAGTTTGACTAACTAATTTCCTGGGGTTTCTCGGTGATAAAGAGGCTATGGTCACATATAGTTCTTTTACTGAACTTTAGGCTGCACTGCTTTGCTTTCGGCAATGATCTCTCGTCACGGCCTATCAATGTAAAGCTTGCGAGTTCATTCAGACTACATACTACTTAGTAGCAGGGTCTGTATTATATAAATATTCTACTATGCCTAAACCCCATGGCCTATGGCCGAAAATTGTTGACTAGCTAAACATTGTCTAGTCCTGCGTCCAAGGATCATTTGTGGCTCTATAAGCTCAGCGCTGCAAGGTACATTAGCTGTATTGCTGCCGATTGGTGGTATGCACGATATTAGGATTGCAGTAGGTCTAATGATATGATAAGTTCAGCACATGTGCATTAAACTAAATCAATAAGTTCCTCTTATACTTATGGTATCTCTTATTCTCGATATCCTATAGGTGTTATGATTTATCTCTATGGTTTAGCTCACTATGTAGAGGAGTGAACATCATTCAAGTCAATTTTGACATTAATTATTGAGTATCATATCTATGACTTCGTTGTCTTTCCCTTTCTACCTTATACAACGCTCGGACCTATTGATAGACGCTCCGATGATCCTTGAAGACGCAATTGCAGGGTCTCATATCACCACCTCCAAGCCTTTTTTATACCAAGACAACTCCATATTCACAACTCCCCCAAGTCAGATGAGGGTATCCTTATATGAAAAGTCATGTTAAAAATAACAAGGAAGTCTTTAGGATTCTAGGTAGGTGACAAATCATGATTAATAATACAAGTCAAAGTTTCCGTCCAAGGAAATAAAACTCCCGCCGTTATCGCCGCCCCCGCCAGAAAATCGGCCGGTCGACGAAAATCCCCCTCATTGCCATTTGCTAGGAATTAGAGAGAATCGATTAGAAAGCGGGATTATGCGCAGGTCTAGCTCTCTTTGATTACTATCGGTTCTTCGACCTTCAGCTCTCCTATACACTTGGGGATTGTATTGACTCTTTTACCCTATACTTGTGCCTGGGCATTTTGTGTTTGGTTAAGACCTACCATCTTTGACACAATGGGTCTTCTGTATGTGCTTTGAGAGGCTTGTTTGACTATTCAGAATCCGTCTAATCTCAAGCAGAGCACTTGGAACAGCGCTGGAATGGCCGGAAGCCAAGAAAAGGGCGGATCAGGTACGGCAGTGGGGTATCGAGGTATGCCGTATTTGTCTACGTCCTCAACGAACCTCAAGGTGTCTGACTGATTTAGCAATTACTTGCCAATTGGCGCAGGGCACGAGGCAAAGAACGCGATGCTCTTCTTTGGGGCGACGAGGTATGTTGTCCTAGCTCGCATAGTGATTCCCGGTCGCAGTCGCTGATCCATATCCTCTATGATAGGTTGAATACCTCGTGGTAGCTCTCGACGACGCAGCGAAGAAATCCCGGCTATCTCTAGCCCAGGCTGAGATCCTGAAATCACTAGCAAGAGACGAGGCGTTGTGGAAGTCTGGTTCCGGCAAGGATAGCGAAACTGGAGACCAGTGAGTGTGATTTGATGTCAATCAGGAACTGGCATATCTGACACCAACTAGTGCCGGAGAGGAGCCGCCTCATTTCCACCCCGAATTTGGAAGATTCATGCTGGAGGCTACTCCTGGACAGCCTTGGGGAATCGGGTTTAAAGACCTACTCAAGGTGGAGTCCAATATGAAGTGGAGGTGAGCTCTTTTAACACAACTTGATCTGAAATATGCTAACAATCTCTAAGACGAGAAGTCGCAAAAGCACACATGGCTCCGAATGAAGTCCCCATCACCCTAACAACCTTCCCTCGGCTGGGAACCAAGGATGACTACATCCAGCCATATTATCCCCCGTCTGGACCAGCTCTCCGCTCGCAGTTTGTTCCTGATGAGATTGCTAACCCTCATATCCGATTCCCTACTCTGGCTGCCAACATTCGATCCCGGAGAGGTCGCAAGGTTGAACTGAACGTACCTGTTTTCCATGACACAAATACACCCAGGCCATTCAAGGACCCAACAGTTAACTACGACCTTCACAACTGGCCCGAGGATGACGACGTCCGCAACGGCGCGGCCAAGGACGATCATGTTTACATGGATGCCATGGCATTCGGAATGGGCAGCTGTTGCTTGCAGATCACCTTTCAAGCAAAGAATATGACAGAGGGCAGAAGACTTTATGATCAGCTGAGTCCTTTGGGGCCCATTCTTTTGGCCTTGACTGCCGCTACCCCTATCTATAAAGGTTTCCTAGTGGACACGGATGTGCGATGGAACCAAATCGGCAATGCAGTCGATGATAGGACACGCGAGGAACTTGGCGAAGCTGTAGGTTTTCCGTAATTATACCTTTGGCTCACCGAACTAACCTCTCGCAGCCTCTTAAGAACGACCGGTGGAGAATTCCCAAGTCGCGATATGCCTCTAATTCGACTTACATATCCCAGGATCCTCGTCTCCGGAAAGAATACTTCGATCCTGATCTAGTTGTTGATCAGGATATTAAGAAACGCCTTATGGACGGGGGAATGGATGATCTACTTGCGACGCATTTTGCACACTTATTTATCCGTGATCCCTTGGTCATTTTCTCTGAAGATCTTGAAGAACTGGATCTTAACAAGAGTGACCACTTCGAGAATTTACAGTCCACTAATTGGCAGCACATGCGCTTCAAGCCACCGCCACCAGATAGTGATATTGGTTGGAGAGTTGAGTTCCGGTCTATGGAGATCCAAATCACAGATTTCGAGAACGCCGCATTTAGCATTTTCATCGTCCTCATCACTCGTGCAATCCTGAGCTTCGATCTCAACTTCTACATCCCGATCCAGCGTACCACGGAGAACATGGAGACGGCCCACGCTCGCAATGCTGTTCTTGATCGGAAATTCTGGTTCCGCAAGGACCCCTTCCCTCGCAGGGTGCCCAGAAGCGCACAGCAGTCGGCAAATGGCAGCACCTTCTCATCTACGACATCGTCGGCTATGAACACTCCACCTCCATCTCCCCCTCTTGGTCCCGTTGAGACAGAGTATGATCTCATGACCATCGATGACATTGTGAATGGATGTGCAGACGGGTCATTCCCTGGTCTCATCCCGCTTGTGGAGTCCTACCTCAACAGCGTCAATGTTGACGTCGAGACCAGGTGTTTCCTGGCCAGCTATCTTGATTTGATCCGGAAGCGAGCTGATGGTACTCTTTGGACTGGGGCTCGTTGGATGCGTGAATTTGTAGCCAAGCATCCGAGCTACAAGCAAGACAGTGTTGTGTCTGAGGAAATCACATATGATCTAGTGAAGGCCGTTGAGGAGATGACTGTTAAAGAAGGCAAAAAGGGATCAGTCGGATGGGAACTTCTCCGAGGCAAGAAGGTCTAGATCTGAGGCACCCACACACGCACACACAATTAGATATCCATAGTGTGAGGATGTATGATGGAAACTCGAAACTATTTGCACATATTTATGACAATTGGAGGCAGCCCTCCTTGTCACAGCATTTGATGAATTTTAATCTTCTCATTGAAATACCTCCAACCAAAGTACTCATTCCAGCAGCATTTCCTCCTGAGTTGGCAACCGGCAAGAGTCCGCTAGCCCAGTCACCTTCCATTCGCCGTTGAGTTTATGCAAAACAAAAAGTTCCACACCAACATGATCCACAACGCCATTGATCTTCGACCGGAATGGCGCCCACACAGCGGCTAAGTTCAGGCTTCCCGTGTCGTGCACCTTTACCTCGGGATCCCAGATACGCTCATCGATGTCATCTTTGAGGCTAGCGACATGTTCAACGAACGAACCAATCGTGCAGAAGCGCAGGGAAGTCGGGGATGGAGGTGAGAGTGTCATCCCTCCTGCTCGGATACAGTGTTTCTCGAAATCGGCGCGCGACTTGGTGCTCAGTGCTGCGAGGAAACTTTGCGTGACTGCAATGATGGCGGCTGTCTCCGATTCCAGCTGAATTGCTGCCCCAGTGCGGGGACGGTTTGATAATGACCAGCACATTGCTGATGGAGTGATTTAGTCGTCAAATCATTATTATAGTGGGAGATCGTGCTATTATATCTTCTATCTTCTCTGGTTCCAAGAAGCAAACAACTCTATATGCATATGTACCTACATATGTGTATACCGCTCACTATTATTCGGGTCACATCTGTTACCGTTACATGCCCATCGGTCTATTGTTTCGGTCTGTTACACTTTGTCTAACTTTGTTCAAATCCAGCATTTCAGGAACCCTAGGATCTTGTTGTCATACGAGGGTAAGTGCTTCGTGTCACACGTCGACTTTTTGATGTTTGGTCCGGGCTTTCATCCTACAATGTCCTTACATTCACTGTCTTCGTTGGACTTGATGCTTGTGTGACTATCAGAGGCATGTGGAAACTGCTAGGCTATGGGCTTTATGTCTCCTTTATACTATATTGCAAATCTACAAATCTATTGGGCTCATTTACCTCGGAAGTCAGCACAAAAGCTCCGGTTAGACCTCGGATGGATCCCGAGCTCAATAATATAGCTATGACCAAAGTAGGCAATCGTCCGTGAAGGTTTTGGGGAAATGGCCATGAAACTAAATACCCCAAACATCCTGAAGGGACATTGGTGGATGAATAGACTTGGACTATCCCTCCTCCTTTCCCATTATACTCCGGTACCCTTTGATCGATTATTCCTACTTGTAACTGAAGTCCATACCAGCCGATCACACACTTTCAAATTGTCGATCATAAACAATTTGGGCGATTATAAGGTTTCCCCCGCAACTTAGACGTCCTCAGACCTTCAACGATGTATATTACAGGTATAAAATGAAACTCGAAATGCAGAATGAGAGGACTAGAGTGGGCAAAAGTGTGCCAATTTATATCATTATGCTTGGATTTGCGACCGGCTTTCTCTTATGGACAGCAGTTCATGCTGTTCCAGCAAAATTATCTCCCACTGTGACAGTGCGCAATGGAACTTATACTGGAGTACGAAGCTCAACCTACAACCAGGATTTCTTCCTGGGTATGCCTTATGCCCAGCAACCAGTGGGTAATTTGCGCTTTACCGTGCCGAAGCCATTGAATGCAAGCTGGGATGGTACACGCGATGCGACACATTATTCGGATATTTGCGTTGGATATGGTGTGAGTACAATTCTTTCACTTATGTTCACATATGATTCTTACCAATGTGGAAAATAGACGGACTCGATTTGGTACCCTCAGTCAGAAGCGTGCCTCATCCTGAATGTCATCCGAGGTTCATCTGTCAACAAGGACTCGAAACTTCCTGTTGGGGTATGGATTCATGGCGGTGGATTTTATCAAGGCTCTGGTGCCGATGAGCGTTACAACATGTCTGCGATTGTGGAAAACTCGTATCAAATAGGTAGGGATCTAGCCCTCTCTTTGGATACTTGGAAGTCTGGTCTAATTAAGATATAAGGCAAACCGTTCATCGCTGTCACACTGAACTACAGACTATCAGCATGGGGCTTTATAAGCTCTAGTCAAGTGTCCGGGAGTGGAAACACCAATCTTGGATTGAGAGATCAGAGGTTGGCGCTTCAATGGGTCCAGGAAAATATCGACGCCTTTGGCGGCGACCCCAAGAAAGTCACCATATGGGGCGAGTCAGCAGGTGCCATGTCAGTGGGATACCACCTTACAGCATACAATGGACGAGATGACAAGCTGTTCCGGGCCGGTATCATGCAATCTGGGGGATCGATAGCCGCCCATGCGGCGAATTATACGACGTTCCAATCAAACTACGATACATTGGCCTCCAAGGTAGGCTGCTCGGATGTCGTGGATTCATTGCAGTGCCTTCGTGAAGTACCATTTGAGACACTTAACACTGCTCTAAACGGCACGGACGGCAACTCTGACTACAATTTTTCGCCGGTTGTAGACGGGGACTTGATTCAGAACTGGGGTAGCATTCAACTAGACAAGCATGCATTTGTGAAGGTCCCTATCATTGCTGGCAGCAACACGGACGAAGGAACAGCATTTGGGCCCACAGGAATCAACACTACAGAGGAATGGTATCAATACTTAACAGGTATATATACAAATCTTCTACACCATCAACACAGCAGCTAACTCATCCAGACGGTGGATTCAATTTCCGGACACCCGACTCTGTAGCCAAACGTATCCTCGAGCTCTACCCAGATGACCCATCGCAAGGCATTCCAGCATATCTCGGAGACCAGCGCGTGCCTTCAAACGGCCACCAATGGCGCCGCACCTCAGCCTTTGCAGGTGACTACTCCATGCATGCCAGTCGCCGACGACAATGCGAAGCATGGGCCGAGACATCAACCCCAGCATACTGCTACCGTTTCAATGTACGCTCGGCAGATGTGCCACCCCTCTCAGGTGTGACTCATTTCGAAGAGGTATCCTTTGTGTTCCACAACATTGCTGGACTGGGATATCACTACGGTAAACCGTTTGCCGGGGTGCCGCAGTCGTACATTGACCTCAGTTCTATGATGACGAGCATGTGGGCATCTTTTATCCACGACCTTGATCCAAACCCGGGTGTGAAAGCAGCTGTATGGGATTCTTATTCCAGGAACAAGCCCGTTGATCTTTGCCTTGATGCTAATACTACCAGTCATATGGAGGCTGATACATGGCGCAAAGATGGGATCGATTATATCAACTCTGTTGCGCGGGCTTTTTGGCGATAGAAGGATCTACAGCGATAACTTTAGAACCTTGGAAGCTTCCAAGTAAATCTATGATGTTCCACGGGAATCGGACCCGAGATCCAGATCCAAGATAAAATCAATCGAACCATGGGTCGGGTGGAGACCCGAGTAACGCCAAGAAGCTACTATTTACTCCCTAAAGGGTACCCCTTCTCTTTTAATATCCAAAATTAAGCCACCTTATCTATATTGTCGATGAAAGAAAAGGGAGCAAAAGAAAGGGGTCTGAATTTCAGATCAACACGAGCTGGAGCCACATGTAATCTATAGATGTCCCGCTACGATCACTAAATTTGCAGATCTAGATCGAGATCCAATTTTGCAGCTTTAATTTGATTACAACATTGGAAGATCTGCAGATCAATTTTTATTCTAGAACCATTGGTAATTTCCAAAGTCTCCGAAAGGTTCAATAACCCCTTTTCGTCCCCAACTTTTACCCTTTTTAGACCCACGATAACCCATCCTAAAATCAATCCACAGTGAGACATAGTTATAGATAGATACGGAGTACATACTCCGTAGTAATCCCGCTATACAGAGTAGTGGGTCAACAGCCAAAGTGTCCATTTACAGCTATATTGGATGTGTTCATATCCCATATCCATGGAAATCTAGCTGTCCCACTCAAGGCGCTTATCGCGCGGGTCCTATCATAAAGCCAAGCCATCTTGGATGAGCTATATTGTCTCCACCACGACATGAACTAGTTTCGATTTACGGAGTACGATATACAATGTCTGTGTATGAGATACGCCTCCAGACTTGCATGGGGAATGGGCAGATAAGTGACGTGGCCTAAGCCCACGAAATTCACTCACGCAGGATCTCACATGCCGATGAGCCCGATATACCTGCCCCAGCCTTTTTCATGGGTATGACGGGTAGCAGTTGTACCTCATACATTCCAAAGCTCACCGCCACAATTTCAACAATGGTGCTTAGAGCCAATCTCGGATCACAGGGAGAAGTAAGGATCTCCGACATGCATCATCAAGATCTGGGCGGGGCTGAAATTCTACGATATGAAACTTTCATGCAAGGCTAGTGGTTTTTAAAATGGTTGCCTCTTTTTCTCCTAAATCCAAATTCAAATATACACAGCGTATCCTCCTGCAAGCCATCTCCCGGGAGATCTCGGGTACTCCGTACTCAATCTGGGGTTTCGGGCAGATGCAGCTGTTTGCCCGATCTTGGGGATGCAGATTGACTATTGAGAAACTTGCAGATTGCAGATTGCAGCTTGCAGTGCAGTACCGGTGTACTCCGTATACTGGTAAGATATAGATCCCCCTGTGTACCTAAAATATATTGCTATGTTGTCCGTCGAATATTATTATCTCTACAATATAACTGATCCTCAATTAAAAGTTCATAACAAATGTAAGAAAAAACCCCATTGAAATCAATAGGTTCGGATATTCGATTCATCTCCACTCATTGCATTTCTATTGGCTTAAAATAAACTTTCCACAAAAAAGGGGATTTCCAGTCAGAACACCCGAGATCCCGAGGTCGATGTCAATATGGAGCCGCTAGATCCAATTTGGAAAAACGAAAACGAACGGATTGGGGCCGGGCTGTATTCCCATCCAATCAGAGGGAAGATAATTGATCTGCGGATCGATTAGGTTCTACTAGTTTGGGAAGAAGATGATATTCTTCAAGACTTTGTACAACAGAAATATACAAGGATGATGAACCTGGGTATTTCGGATAGATCCGCTGCAGTTGGTAATGTAATGTCTGCATTTCAGAAATGCAATAATAATATATACTTGCATATACGAGGTACAGATTCGGAAGACTAATGCAAGTCCGTTTTTCAAGTATATCTTCCACGGCCAAGTTCCGGGAGCCTATATTTATTGTACTCCGTAGTACGGAGTACAACATACGGAATAAGCAGTAACATGCTACCACTGCCAGCTCAAATAGGGAAGACAAAAGAACACCAAAAGAACGAGAACCTTACACTCCACTTAGGCCACCCATCTCCCAAAGTACCCCCTAACTCGGCATGGCGTAGGAGGCCCGAGAGCCCGATTTAAATACCGATCTACCACCTGCGTCTTTTAGCTCCTGACAATCTACCACGAGGTTAGCTCGCGTGTACCTTCATAGGAATACACCGACATTTGTTCCAAAAAGGGTGCTGACAGAGTGCTGACAAAAAGGAAGACCCTGCCGTCGACCCCACAACGGACAGTTCGCAGTTCACTGCAGGAAACTATTGAATGCGATCTGCCCGTATACGATGTCACAAAATAGAGTTGGTGTCGGCCAC